GCTCTAAGCTCATTAGCACACCCACATGCACGCACACCAACACACACACACACAAACACAAACGCAAACAGCGAGGAGGCTGTGTAAAAAGAAAAAAAAATGAAGAAAGCAAATAAGCTCTGGGGGAGACAGAAGAGACAGGGGGGGAAAAGAGAGGAGATCAGTTTAACACATAAAAGACACAGGAGGACTTGTGGAAAACAAAGAGAGGGATGACTGATGGGAGAAGCGCAGGACTTTGAAGGATTAAAAAAAAAAGAAAGAAATAAGAAAAAGTGGAAAAAAAAATATCTACGCAGACAAAGGCTTTTGGAGGAGAGCAGAACAGAAGGAGGAGAGAAACAAATGAGAGATGAGGAGAAAGTAAAAGAGGAGGGGGAGTTGGATTTGGAGACAGCATAACAGGATGTAATGGTTTTAAAAGCTTGGTTTAATTCACACTGTCAGCGGCTACACACTCGTTATCCCCCGCTCACATTTGTGTGACTTCAATTTCATCGAGTGTTGCGGCCCGTTTTCTTTCTGCTGCTACACTGTGCATCTGATGTCCTCTAACTCAGCAAAGAAAATGTAACCAGTGGTAGAGTGACAGTTAAACCCCATCACTGTTCTGCCACACCACGCCCAACCTCTGAGATACTGAATAAGTTCTGAAAAAATCTGTGTTTAATTCAAACCTTTGTGTCACCTGCTATCTTCAAGCAGTGATGACCATCGTGTTTGGTACAATCAGATGCATGTAGACATGGATAAATGAATCTTCTGTGTTGTGTCTCTGTTTTAGCACCTTTGAAGATAGTTGGATTTTGCTGGTCTCATCCCAGTCTGAGTCATCGGGCTTTAAATTAGCCTGCCACCTGCCACCTTTCCTTTTATCATCTGCAAATTCGACCAGAAATAATGACAAAAAGGTTTCGTAATGTGCAGCCAGCTGTGTACACGCTGAAGACATTAGCTCTGACAGATATGCCCTCCTGACAGCGGCTGAAGATGGCTTTTTGTAATCTTGCAGTACAACCAGCAGCAGAGTGCATTTCCTCACCGTTAGAGGTTCTACTAAATGAATCCTACCACAGTTGAGATTCAGACGCAGGCAAAAATCTAAACTGTGACTCTGTGGACCAGTGATCTGATCAAGAACGGCCACAAGAATCATGACACAGGATGCCAACAGATGTCACTATTTGAGGAAGAGTCTACAGCATGGACTGGTCTCAGATTGATTGCAGACAAAAGACACCTACTATGAGAATCATCTCTACTATTCCTGTCAGATTAAGCCTCCCGGAGTTTTTTGCCTACATAGTTTCAAAAGCAATCTAACAAGGTCAGTTATAGTAACATTTACTTATCACTTTCAGAATGACACTAAATTACACACAGTCTCTGTGGGTTCATTTGGCCTGAGACCTGCTTTGCAGATTACATTATCAAATTATTACACAATGTTCAAACATTCCATCACTGTATTTATCCAGGTGATAATAAAGTGCAGAACCTAGGCATTCTTTTCAACCAAAGTCAGCATGGGGAAAGAAACTTCCATTTCTGTTTATCTGGAGTTACTTCTCTTACAAAGAAGAGAAATGAAAGATGAGGTTTTATAAGGCTCTGGCATTACAGTTTTTTTTAAAAATATATATACAGTCCTTTTACTGGAGCCGTGGCACATCTAAAGGGAAAAAGTCACTTCGACATTTGGACTGTTTGAAAAGGGTCAGAGATACTGGTTGCACAATAGGGAGGGCTAGTGAAGGTTTTTCACTGAATTCATTTGTTGGTGACCTTTTTTATATGTAAAGACTGAAGATGAAGATGACATAAAAATGTCCCCCCCCCTCCCCCTCAAACCCCGAGGTTTGGATAACGGATCTTGTGGTACTCTGATCTTGTTTGCACTTTTTTCCCTCTCCCACTAAACCACTGTACACTGTCCAGCCTGCCAGCACAGTGTGTCTTACAGAATTGAAAACAAGCAAAGAAACATTTATCAACTTAAGACTTTTTACTGCGGTTGTAAAAAAACCACAGCGTTAAGGGAAGGTATGCGGAATGAAATACTGCACATACCTTTACCAGGTGACTTGATAAAACTCCGATTTGAGTAAGCTATATTTTTCTAAATAAAACAGTCATCTATACCTGTCCGTAAGGAACAGGGGGAAAACAAATCTTAAAACCTTATCCTTAAATACTAAAGCAGAGAATCTCCAGAGTGACCACAGCCTGAAATATCATTATGAACAAGCCCTCACAAAAGTAGAAATCCAATACTTGACATGCTCACACCCCTACTGTACGCATAAGCTGAGCAGTAGGGAGAGAGTACCTTTTTTGTGTGGCATTGAGATAAATAGGATTAGGGATTTGGGAGATTTAGGAGGAATAATCCGTCTGTGTATCAGAGAGAGGCAGCAGCGGTGATGATCAAAAGAGAACGCTGCGATTCAGAGCTCAGGAATCTTTGGATCGACCAAAAAGTTGGAGTGACATTTTCTCCATTTTCCCCTCCAAGGATCAGCTTTCATTTTGTCACTGTGACTGCTGTAACTGCCACATAATCACCTCGCTCTGCATCACACTGTCTGGACGTGTGTTTGCGCCTGTTTGTGTACGACAGCCAGGGATAGGCAGAGAATTATATATCCAGTGTAATTAATCTGATTTACAGTTTACATCAGGGGAGAGACACTGAGCCAGTCTGTTTGTTGTTAGACTTCGTATTAAGCCGGGGATTGGATTCAGCTATTTAACACCCATTTGATTTGAACAGCTGCAGTGTAATGCAGATATCTACACTATACATCCATATAAATACCGTGTAGGCTGAAAAGCCCACAAAGACTCCTCACTGATAACTTCTCTTTTCTGCAGGCTGGTCGAGGGGGGGAAGTACAGCCTCTTCATAGTTCATCTACATTTTCATTTTGACTCGGTGCCACAAGCAGGTGAGGGCCAGTTCAGAGGCTCTGAACAGAAAGCAGAAATGCACGTTGCACACAGGTAAGCTGTTTTTCTCAGGAAAGACCCAGACTTACAGTTCCACAATGGGGAATGGAAAAACGCAGCCACCGTGATTCCAGGCAACGCCAAAGCCAGGTGACTTTGTCAGTCTGAGGTTTGCTACAGATCTACCACACACTGAAATCAGAGGAACTCATGCATACGCGTGGTTTTGCTGGCGTACACTTCCTCCCTGACATAGAGGAGAGAGCACGAACACTGGAGCTAAACAACCTCAATAAAATATGAGGTGGCTCGTTCTTCTGATGTAGTGTGTAGTATTTCGGTCCCATTGGTCTCCACTGCTGGGCACAAAGCATTTTTGTCAAGCTTGTTTGATTAAAAAGAACGAAAGCATTTTTTTGGGGGAAGTGTTGTTGGAAGAACCGTATTTGGTAATAATCTGCCGCAATATTCCTCCACCAGGAGGGCAGAGCTTTGCACGGGCTTATTTTCTTTTGTCTGTCGGATGATAAAAATTTCCCAGAAATGACCAAGTACATTTTTCTAAAACTCAGTGAGGAGGTGACACCTTGAAGAGGGAAGAATTGAGATTCAGAGAAAAATTCTCCAAATTTTTTAAAGGTTTATCAGTGGTTAAAGAAGACCAACCGAATGATGAATGTTTAAACTGTTTTCTTAAGAGACACGGAATGTGAGTCAACCTACATTTGAAAGTTATTTCTTTTGTAATTTTAACAAGCTAATACTGCTGTGGCAAGCCCTCCTTATCACCATACAGTTGTTCAGGGCTCAACAGATGTTTCATGTCAGTTGCAAAATGAGAAGATTCTTCAGATGTTATTGATGGATGGTTACGATACATTTAAAGTGTTTCTTCAGAATAAAATCCCCCTCTTATCATATGACATGTATTGATGGTGGGGAAAAATACCTTCTGGTGTCTTTTTTTTTTCTTTAAACTTATAATTCCACAATCCTGGACGGCAGCTCACTGCTCATGCTGCAACAATTTTATCATTTGAATGATGTGGTGTTCTGTATCTGTCATAGGTGTAGATTTGTGTGTGACAGACTTCCTTTCAATAAGTTTTGTTAGTTTTATTGCTATGCTTCCCGCAATCATATGTGGAAGGAATCCAAATCAAAGGTTTTTGTACATTTTAAACTCCCTGCTTGCCTTTCTGGATTTTCTAAGATGAGAAAGTTATCAGCAGCCATCATGTGTGCAAATTGGAAAGTTACAGACTCCAATAACAAAAAGAAAAATCCCCACATTTATTATCTAGACATTTCAATGTTTTCTTTTTTCCTTTTTTTTGAAGAGGTTCTACACGAAGATCATTTAGTATTTCCTGATTACATGTAAAAGAAGTACAAAAAGTTTGTTATTTCTAAAGCATGTCTTGTAAGAAAAAAAAGATATATACATTTTTACAGACAAAAACAGATTCAAATGAAAAAGGTAAATACAAGGTCCTGAAATTGGAGTTAACAATGGCGATATTAATGAACACCTCATGAAACTTAAGCATTGTTGTACCTTCTTTTTTTTTTTTTACACATCTCCAAAAGAATAATTTAATCTCATAATCTTACAGTATTCTTTTTAAAGTGGAAAAACAATGTTTTTCTTCACACAGTTAACATCCCAGTCCAACAGTATTAGTGAAAGCAGGTGGCAATGCGTGGTAAAAGTCATGTCATCAGTTTAATGTTCATGGGCAAGACGTTATTTTTACTAGTCAACTAATACATTAAGACTGAATTGCCTGTGTAGTTGGCTTCTGTTAATCAAGGACACATAAGACTTAAAGTGTTTCATGGAGTGAAATGAGCCGGGCAGCAGCACAGACCTGTTGATTCTCTTCTGCTCATGTGTCTAATGTAAATGCTAAAACTGAATGAATGAAGTCACAGTATGAAGGCTATGTCCACCATGCCCTGCTTAAGGTGAAGTATAGCTCTGTCCCAAGTCACTTACAGGGATGCTTCAGAATGAATTAAGTACAGACATATTCAAGTTTTGAGGAGACAAACGCAATGGAATTTGAGATTGAAAAACTTCAACTTAAAGTCAGATTCCCACCAATTGTTCTTCCACCCACAAATATGGGGTGAAAAAATAAATCAGGGTTTTCTAAAGTTTTCTTTTAAAAAATTAAAACAATAAACCATTGAGTAAGTAAACTTTTCAGTTTGTGAGGCTTATATGTCCTGGTAAGATAATAATTCTCCATATAGGAACTTTTCTCTCTTGGTATGAATGATATCACCTCAGAAGCTTAATGTAGCATAAGGTCAGACAAGTCAGCATAGCCTTCGGCATGTTGAAAACATCCCACTTGGCTAGCAAAGCATGTAGGTGGACAGCAAGCACAACAGCGCAGTTAGTATCAATAGGACTTAAGACAGAGAGAAATTGTCAGACAGTGTAGGCGTGTCAGAAAAACAGGCTGAGGTTCACAGGTCACAGACTCCATGCTGAGAGATCAACAGGTTGTAAGTAGTGTCTGAAGCAAAATACAAACCAACATATTAATCATTCATGATTTGTAAATTGCTCATCCATCTACCATTTCCCCAAAGTTCTGATTATTTTTGTACAGCATTTTCTGTGTCTCTAATATCCGTTGTGACCTCAAATTGAATGTGTTTAGACATCTGTAACTCGGTACCCCGTCAGCAGAACAGCTGGTTCCAGTCACACAACTGGCCGGCCTGCTCTGTTGCAAAGCAGGAGACTCCAACATCCACTTGTGTTCTTTGCCTTCATTAACATCCAAAGGCTCGATTCAAGTCCCTGCTGAGGAGGAGTCAAGTTCACAGGCACATTAAACATGTGCGGATACAACGTTAGTCTCCTTTGTTTCGTTGCTGCAGATGCGACAGTAAAGGAGTGTGTCTGTGACTTCTGGCTCCATAGGAAAAGTTCCAGAGTTGCAGAAAGATTTTGGGAGAAGAGTTCAGGTCCATTCTTCAATATTTTCAGTAGATGACTTCATAAACGGTGGCCTTCTTGTCCCCTGAACCAGTAACAATGTACTTATCATCCACAGATATGTCACAGCTTAGCACCGAGGAGGATTCTTTAGACTGTGGGGGAAGAAGAGAGCAGAACACAACAAAAAGTGAGCTGACAGGACATCATTTTCTGATAAAATCTTTTTTTTAAATCACTTCTATCTGGAAAATGTCTATAAATGAATAAATCCTGTCTAAATGTACAGCATAGCGCGTTTATTCAAGACCAGCTTTTTGACCGTTTAGTATCAATTCTGTCATGACATGGGTGTGACACAGTCACGAAGGAAAAATTCAAGATTAATATTTTTGTGTTTGATGGAACTGATTATGTTGTTGTGCATAACTGTCCGAACCTGGAATATGCTGGCTCCATAGGGTGTTCTCCATGCATTCAGTAAGTTGTCCTTTCCTGTACTCACAAACCATTTGCCTGGGTTGAGACAAAAAAAGACAATGATAAGGAATCTCTGTATAAACTAAAAAGACAACAGTCAGCAAAACACAACTGAAAAGAAGCAGAAACATTTGTGAAATAGAATTAATGAACTGATAGTGGAAACATCCAATTTCAAAGTCCAATTCCAGAGTCTTTTAAAATGACAATGATCTCACACCATGTTCATCACTTTAAGTTCATGGAAGAGATTCAAATTTTTCCTCCACAAGTCAAATATCTTTTTTTCCTAAATTATTTTTCATATTTATAGAGTTAAAACAATGCATGATATCAAAACGGTTCTTGAACTTAAGTCTTAAAACCACAATGACATTATTGGTTGATGTAGTTGATTCTTGAAATTAAGGACATTACAGGACAGTTCCACTAACTCCACTATCACATACACCGCAGACAGTCGAAAGCAATGACGGAAAAAGTCAATTGGTTGAAATGTATAAAGCAAGTTGCTTACCACAGTAGGCAAACTGCAGGGAGAGGACACAGCTCTCATGTAGGTGAAGTTGGTACTTGTCAGGTTTGGTAACATGGAGGACTTCAACGTTGCTGCTCTCCATGCCAACAGCAAGCCACTCTCCTGTCGGACAGTATCCAAGAGAGAAGATCTGGACAAGAAGACAAAATAATTATTACTCCAAGTTATATCGGCACTGGGTACTTGACCAGCTGTCAAAAGTGACTTTAGTGTCACTTTAATCGGGGCGTACCTGTGACGTGAAGTCGTGCTGCTGCAGCTGCCGTCCTTCCCTCAGATCCCAGGAGCGCACAGTGTTGTCTAGGCCTCCAGTCCACAGCTTGGTGCCATCATTTGAGATGTCGATACAGCTGGCTCCATCTGTGTGGCCCTGGAACTGCCTGCAGGGCACAAAAACAGGTTCTTAGTAAAAATAAAGGAAAAACATGTCTAAACAGACACAATAGGACCTGGGTCGAATTAGGCAGTTTGTGTCTATCAGTCGTACCCATGCTAAATAAAATGAGTACACTTTATGTTTCACAGGTCCATGTAGAAAATAATAATCATTAATTGATTTCTTACCTAACGAGTGTTTGGTTGTGTAAATCCCACACAGCAATGTTTCCATCACTGCAGCAAGAGAAGCAGACTTTGGAGTCCGGACTGATGGCCAAGGCGTAACATGCCGGTGCTGATGACGTTAACTCCGCTTTAATCCTGGGGGTGGGTGTGGCCAAGTCCCAGATCGACAATGTGCTCGCCTCGCCACCCACGATAAGCGTTCGACCGTCAGGGAGGAGACGACAGGAGCGGATGTAGTTGTCTCGGTTCTGATGTGATGGGAACAGAGTTAACATTGCACTAAGTAAAAAGCTTTTGTAAATAGATGTAGTAAGTATAATTCTATGTGGCAAAGTCAAAATGAGTATCTTTCAGGTCTGCAAAGACATGCGTGATGTCTACAAAAGTTGTGCTTTGAACTTTTAGGGAAATGACCGAAAGCTGATCTGTGCTATGTGCAATGACACCAACCACCTCACTCACCAGGCAATCGAGCTGGGAGACGGGGCTCTTGTTTCCTGGGTGACTAATGTCCCAGACCTTAACACATCCCTTTCCACCAGTGTAAACGTGTCGGGTGGGGTTACTGATGGTGACAGCACACACCACCTCTCCATGGTTTAGCGTGTTGATCTGACGAGCGTGGCGAGGGATTCCTGGTCCCACTAAAGCATCCGGGGGGAATGGAACCGGCTGCATCTGTCCATCGGCGGCAACGTGAAAGGAATAAGCGCTGATGACACAGAAAAAGGGGATGAGACTACATACGGAAAAGAAGACGGCTAGACAGCAAAAGAGAAAGTTGAAGTAGTATGAAATGGAGTAAAAGGGGTAGAAAGCGCTAGGAAAACACTTTGATCATCTACAAACAAGTAAACAAAAACACTTACGGTTTGCCACCGGGTATTCCTGTGAGACTAGGAGGCATTCCAGGGACTCTCATGTGAGGATGAGGATCAAAACCAACCTTCAAGAGAAAACACACATTTATGAGCACTGTGCAAACACATGACCATGGGAATTGGCAAAATACACACAGGTCAACACCAACCTGTGGAACAGAACCCAAACACTCATGAGCACAAAGCAAACAGACACTCAAGCACACACAATTCAAATGACAAGTGTAAGAGACTGTAAACACACTGGCAGAGCTGCCAGTGCTCGGGCTGCTCTCCTTGCAGCCCTGGTCCAATACACACAGCCATGCTGCTGGTGAATACACAACCTGAGTTGCTATCAAGTGTTGCCCAGACACAGCTGCATGTCCACTAAACCTATTTAAACAGTGTAATGAACACTATGCAAATAACCAAGAATGATGAGTTGACTGAACGTAATGCTCTCGAGTAAACCTACTGTATAAATAGTTCTACAAAAGGTCTTTGAGATACAGCTATGCAACTATTGACATTGTGCACACTGTACAATATAAAATGGAAAGTATTCACACCCCTTAAACTTCAAATGTTGAAAGAATAAACCAAGCAGCATGCAAGACTAAAACTCAAGACTAAGATGTTAGTAGAGAAAAAAAGAGAAAATTTCCCAAGTGAAGCAAAACCAAAACAAATCATTTTTAAATTCACTGTTGTGTTTATTCAATCATCATGGAACATCCCAAGGCTGAACAGGTTTACAAAAGGAATCACATTCAAATGGAAACACTGGGATGGGCTATCCCGATATCAAACTTTGGACATTATTTTATGTTGCAACATTTTAAGATAATTTTCAGTTTCAGGCAAAAAAGGCTGAAGCCATCCACTATAACACAAGAAATACAAGTAACAAGGTCAAAGGGAGACCAAACTGCCAACACTTATTACTTATATATCTATAAAATAGAATGTCTTAAATGCCAGTTATTTTGACTGGATTTTGCATAGGCTCTTTTATTTTTTGCATGCAAAATATTGACATACCCAAAGTAAAATCACATCTCTTCCCCAAAGAACCATTCACCCTAATTTTGCACTCACCATCGGTGAGCGGCCATACGCAGCCACAGCCGCAGCTGCTGCAGCACTCATCTGAGGAGACATGTTATGCAGGCCAGCAGCGTAGGCTGCAGCACCAGCTGCACCAGCCAGTTCCCCGTTCATCCCTGCTGCATGGGGCAACATACCAAACGCACCCGGGTATGGACCTGGAACAGCCAGGGGTGTTCGTAGACCAGCAGCTGGAGAGAAGAGGGACGAAAGGTTTCGCTCAGTCATCTCAGTCCCTGGTCAAGTAATATCTGATTCTCTCAATGCCCATGGCGCAAAGGCAAGCCAAAAAAAATTAAAAATTCTGCTGGCAGTTACAGAAGCAAACATCTGAGCCTCTACATGTGGCATGAGATTAATTGTCGTTTTGATCCATTCATTCTGTTTAAGTCAGCTTGGGCCATGAATCAGTTAGAATTAGACAAAGTCTTACATAATTTATGCAAACCAAGTCATCCATTATGGTGAATCATTACACATCTCGGAAAAGGTAAATTACTTATTTCTCAAAAATATAAATCTGTTCAAATAAAATAATTTTTAATGCTTTCAATATACAAAAGCTTATTCTTGACTCACTAGCTGGATGTGGTATCTCCATGGACGGGGGTTTTGATAGACTTGGTCGGATTCCAGGTGTGGAACTTGGACCAGGCGTTGAGTCTCCTCTTGGTGTAGGTGTGCTTGACTTAAGCCCAGGCGTACCAGCCTTATCTCGCTATAATGTAGAGAGAAACAATAACTATTTAGCTGTAGACACCAACTTTTTCAACCTACATCAAATCTACTATGAAATAAAAGTATCTCTACCATTGCCATCTCTTTGGACTTAAGGGAGGAGGAGCTGGCTGATGAAGCAGTAGAAGCTGGACTACAGGGGTCTTTCTTGAGAAGACGTGCTTTATCCATCCCATTTTCTCTGGGGGACGGAAGAGGTGTACCACGAGGGGAGGCTGGATCCTATTGAGGCAAAAAAAAAAAAGTAAACTAATTAAGAGCAACAATGAAACACATACTATAAGTAGTGTAGGTATTTTTCTAGAACAGGATTTTGAATTTAAAGCCATTATTTAAAACATAAAAACTCAATTTTATACAACATTTGACTTAATTTTATAGTAAAGAACCATGTTCATCACCACAACCAGAAAAACAAAGATAAGCGTTAAAAAAAACTAACCTCATTTGAAACATCCACCACTAAATTGTCGTCACTTTTCTCTCCATCACTATCCTGATATAGGAGTCAATCAGACCAGTTAGCATAGAAATTAGAAGCACATTAATTCATATTATTCATTTTCTGGAGAAAATAACTATTTTTTACATAGTGGCTGGAGTCCTTGTCATCCACCTTCCGTTTCTTAGTGTCATTTTGGAAATCAGGCCCATTGCGTCGTTTATCTGAGTTCCTAAGACTTTCTGGCAACGCCGAGTTACTCTTTAGACAGAAACACAGAACAGCACAGAGACAGAACACAGTGGAAAAAAATTAGCCGAGATAAAAAACATAAGACGTGTAAAGAAAAAAATGTACTTAAAAGAAAAACATAGGAAAATAAAAATAAAATTTTTTTCAGTTAGTTTTAAGTGGTGCTTGCATGTCTGTACACTCTAAACAACCAGATCCATCTACCACTAATTACAAGAGCTATTCAGCCATATGTGAGTAGTAAGTTAAAAAAAAGACTTTAGCTTGCAAATAGGTTAACAGTTCAGAAAAGCTTGAATTAGGTAGGACTAACACTTTAAAAGCAGCCTCTTTTCTCACTTGACCAAAGCCGGTCACAACCAAATACAAACACATGCCTCTGAAGTTGATGATTACATTAAGTGGCTCTCAAAATCTATCAGTGTTCCCTCTCCTGACTCTGACAAGCTGTGCTGGCTGCTTTTTGTGTGTCAGTGTGTGTCTGTGCAGTGTGTAATTGACTGTGAAAGCCTGTGTGTATGAACAACCGTGTAACAGACTGCAGGTGTGTATTGCTTGCATAACACTTTGGTGTCCCAAGACCAGGGACGCGCGCGCACACACACTCACACATACACACACACACAGCCTGAGCCGTCTACCCCTGGCCCCCTGACCAACGGATCCTATT